CTGATTTTGTTTTTGAGAGCACACACATAAACACAAAAGTGATTTTAGAGTGTTCTCTATTTGATCAAAATTGGAGCATAATTGAAGACTCAGAGATTCCGAGAAGCAGGATTTTAATTGCTCTTCATCAAATTCAAAATTGAAGAAAATGGGTGATTTGATCATACTTTGAAGGAGTCAAAGTATTCGTGGAGTGTTGTTTGATCTACCAGCGATACTTAAGAGTAAGCCTGAGGTCGAGAGCTATGGGACGGGGGAACACGGGTTGATCAAATCCGTGCACAAAATTAAGGGATATCAAAATAATTAAAGTATTTCAAACAAACACAGAGTACAAAAAGAAACTAAAAAGAATAAATAACTCGCTGAAGGAAAATCTATTAAATAATAAATTTTCATTAATAATTCTCCAAAGGTTACAACTCGGGAATCCCGTAAATCAAGGACCCCTGAACATAATCCACTAATCTAATGAACTCTAAATTAAGTCTATCATCTAACAATAAGAAAATATCCTATATTGAAATAAGAAAAAAAAATAGATAAGTCCTCTAACTGCGGATCTTCAACCTTGAGACTTGAATTTCTAATAACCTGAAAAACAAATCGCGGATTAAACCCTACGAGCATGCTCTCTCTACCTGGCCTCTGAAAACCAATAAAAAGATCATCTCTGACCAAAGCCAATCTTAATAAAGCTTTTATCTTTAGTACACCATGATATGCATATATACATAATATACTACATTAGTCACATCTATTACTAGGTTCATTAAATTCAAAACTATTAAACAATGATTAAATTAACAATCATTCCTAAACCAATCCACAATTCATATTTCTTTTAAAAAGAAACTTCATTGACCATAATTCCATTATAGACAATTGTTTAATCATTTAAACAATCAATTATAATAAAAGGAAAATTATATTAAATTTCAAATCCTGATAATGATTTTTATTCACTAAATCACACAGCTAATATCTAGGCTTTAACAAATCATCCATGTCTTTCCCAGTATTATATTATTGCTATACATAAAATAATATACTAACCTTTGAACACTAGATTATTCTAATGTACTCCTAATCCAACTGATACACACAATAACCCTAGATGGAATTTTAATCATCTAGCACATAGCAATTTAATTACGCTTTGGCAAATCAATCATGTCTTTATAAATATATTTATTTATATATATATTGGCAACTCAACCATGCCTCCTTAAGTATAATTATTTAAACTTTGGCAATTCAACCATGCTTCCATAAGTATATTTATTCATACATTTAATTAACAACTCATCCATGCTTCCCATGTATGTATTCTATTCATACAAATATTTAGATAATATTTTTAATCCTTTGACAATTCATCTATGCCTACACTTTAACCATGAATCACTTTAAACTTAACAATACGCTAAATTATACATAACTATCTCATGCATATTATACGCATATCATTAATTTAATAATCAACCTATCAAGATATACCAAATAAGAATGATAATATTAATCATCTTAAATGATATATATATATATATATATATATATATATATTCATCTTTCCATACAACTCATAAACGAATTAAACTATATATACACATATATAAATAATTATATATATATACACTTCCTTCCATAACAAATTATTAATTTGTTATATTTACACAAATTAATGCTACTAAATATGTCAGAAATAGTTTCCCCTAAATACTCCATATCGATTTAAATAGTTTTCCGATACCGTCTCACTAAAACATAAATATCTCCTAGTAGGATGGGAATCTGATAATAAAATTGGTACCATTGGAAAGAGGACGAAAAATCCTTGAATTTGAGCTCAAGAATGACCCAATTTTGATTTAAGATGACTAAGTTATGACCGTTTTAATTTTATGTCACAAACAGGCAAAATAATTGGCTGAGCTTAAACACTACTGTGGGCGCGCCAATGCTGGATTAGCTCACTTGAGCTCACATAAATGCACCCACACCAGATTAGTTCATTTGAGCTCACATGTATGCACCCACAACAGATCAATCTTCTGTTGACCAATCCTAATTCATGGTCCAGATTCACATGCGCACTCTTTTGTGTACATCGTAATGCACCGAATCATTCCCCTTATATTTAAACTATTCCAATGGCCCAGATCAGCGATGTAACCTCTTACCATGCATACTACCACACTAGATCATACCTCGAAACACTGAATCCATCTCCTGGTATATGCGCCGATTCACACAGAGTGCATAGAATTAATTTAAAATTTAATAAAAATAATTCTAAAAATAAATTCCAGAATATAAAAAAAATTACAAAACAAATTCTAAAAATATTTTGAAAAGTACAGAAAAATTCCAAAAAATATAAAAACCCAAATTAATCCCCTTGGGTCATAGTTCCACCTATACATTGATTTTAAAATATATATACAACACCTACATATAGAAATAAAATCCAATAATCCAAAATTAAAAATATATATATATAATAATTCATACTTTTAAATAATCATATCTAAACATGATTTAATCAAATAAATTAACTTGATGCTTTTTATTAATCCAAATTAATAATTTAATTAAAGCCTTAATACTCAAGGTGAAATCCTTATGGGTTCTAAGAGGAAAAATAGAGAAAACTCGCCTGAAGGTTTCGAAACGGAACCGACGCTTCAAGTTTTGATTGTTTCTTCCAATTCCGACATCCTCTTTCTCAGATCCGGCATCCTCCTTGTCAGTCCTCTCTTCTTCTTTCTCTGCCTCTGTTATTTTTCTAACGTGAGAAATTTTTATCGATAAAATATTATATATTTATACACATTAATACTAGGGGTGGCAATTTGTGTTCATGGGTCGTGTTCGTGTCATGTCGAGACATGGGTATTATAACAAATAGGTCGACACGAACATGACCCATTTAATTTTCGTGTCAAGTTGGATAAACACGAACACGACCCAATTATTAAACGGATAACACAACACGACCCATGTAACCCGTTTAATAATTGGGTCGTGTTATATTGGGTTCAACACGACACGACCCATGTAATAATTGGGTCGTGTCATGTTGAGTTCAACACGACATGACCCATTTAACCCATTTATCAGTTACATATCTTTTCAACCCAAATTGTTTCAACAAATCATCCAACATATATATATAACTAAAATCCACAAAGTCCTATTCATTCAAGAAAGAAAAAAAGTGGTCATGCTCTGGAACTGGAAGCTTGTCACTAGCTATTTCATTTACCGAGCTTGGCACCAAACAAAGATCATGACATTCCATCTCCAAGCTTGTCAAAAGCTTTCACCTCCACTATAGTATGTAGTTCCCAGTCTTTTTACCTCTAATCTATATAAAAAGATAAAACTAATAAAAATCAAGTAAAAAAAAAAAAAAAGAAAACCTTATGAGCACATGAGCAAAGTGTTAAACATACCATTCACTGGCTTCAAGCCTTCAATGAAGAAGGCTATTTCATTCTTCGAGCCTATCACCAAACAAAGATCATGACATTCCATCTCCAAGCTTGTCAAAAGCTTTCACCCCCACTTTAGTATGTAGTTCCCAGTTTTTTTACCTCTAATCTATATAAAATGATAAAACTAATAAAACTTCATAAAGAGATCCATCTTCTGCATTCATTATTCATACAGGGAAAGACTCACATGGTTGCAAATAAGATACCATAGCATAACAGCAAGTACCATATAGATGACAATATGGTCAACCCTTTAGAATCCCTAGAGAACAAATCACATTAAGTTGATTTTCAATCCATCTAATATATGTAACAAATAATTAAGATACCAAATTGTGGGAGTGATCTGATTATCTCGAGCTCCTATGGTAAGAAAAAACTAAAAACAAAATGTACAGTTGGAACTTGGAACTCTATATAAGTCAAACTCCCTGAAAAGAAAAATAATGATAACATCTTCGAGAATAAAATAATAATTAGACACCCAATAATTTGGGAGTAAATGGTTTATTCCACCCACTCTTTAGCCATTAATGCTGTAGAATACTTTATCTACAATGAACAGTTCCAATGACAAGTGTTAATTAACTTAACTGGCTTAGAATGACTCCCTCAGTTCTAACTTAAGCCCAGCAAAAGATTCTAAAATCAAGATGCAGAGGGAGGACCCATGTTAGTAACTTCTCTTGCAAAATTATGAACAAGAATGAATGAAAGCATGCAGTGCAAAACTCCAACTTTTTCAACTAATTTTAAGTACTCAGAAAAGGGCCAATTCACAGGAAAGGCAGATGGATCAAACCCTCCCCCCCCCCCCTCTCTCTCTCTCAAATTATATATGGCTCGAGGAACATTCTATTTCCCTTGAAGCATAGCACAAGTACCACTTTTGTGAAACTAGGGATATATATAAAAAAAAAAAAACATGTTCAAATGAACAAATGCCAGAAAAAAAACTGCAAAAGTGATAGTCAAATCAACATTTCCAGGAAAAGCCATACCTAAATGAATTAACTTAACTGGCTTAGAATGACCCCCTCAGTTCCAACTTAAGCCCAGCAAAAGATTCTAAAATCAAGATGCAGAGAGAGGACCCATGTTAGTAACTTCTCTTGCAAAATTATGAACAAGAATGAATGAAAGCATGCAGTGCAAAACTACAACTTTTTCAACTAATTTTAAGTACTCAAAAAAGGGCCGATTCACAGGAAAGGCAAATGGATCAAACCCTCCTCTCTCTCTCTCTCTCAAATTATATATAGCTCGAGGAACATTCTATTTCCCTTGCACAAGTACCACTTTTGTGAAACTAGGGATATAAAAAAAAACATGTTCAAATGAATAAATGCCAAAAAAAAAAAACTGCAAAAGTGATAGTCAAATCAACATTTCCAGGAAAAGCCATACCTAAATAATGAGATCCATCTGCCTGTCTGGTTATTATGATATATCATAGATATATCCTCATAATTAGCTCCACTTATTAAACCAACTTTGTCATCAAAACTGCAAAAGTGATTGAAACATTAAATGTAATCACGAGTGAAACAAAAAAATGAGCAATTCAGAATCGTATAAGTTACTTTAGCCCTTTTATTTATTTTTCTATCTATTTTTTTTGGGAGCGATATGTAAGATATTTTGAACTCGAACATGTTTTTTCTGGCATAAGCAACCTAATCTATGCTAAAATGGAAATGATAACTCTAATATGTTCGTGCTCAAAAGGCAGAAGATCAATCTACAAGTCCCCCACAAGAAACTCATATCTCATTTAGATATTTTGGATTAAAGAACAGCAATTAATTTAAAGGACCTGACAACAATAATAGCCTCCAAATTCTCATCAATGATTGAAGGACCGTAAGGGTTTGTAATAGGTTCAACTTGCAGCAAATTTCAGCTCATTTTGCAGTTGGCATGATAAAATATGGATATATTTGTATCCATATTCCTTGCTAAAAATGGACACCTCAAGTTTGGGTATATGGCAGATCACAAAAGAGCTGAAGTTGAAAATTCACATGGTGAGATGAAAATTCCATAAGATTACCAGACAAATCAGCCAATTATCGTCCTAAAGTTGAAGCAAATTGTCTAGTATAAATGTTATAAAAAATAGACAAGGACTTGACTGAAAATATAAAAGAATAAACTGAATTGGAGACCAAACTGGTGAACCCAGACTGCTACCAATCAAAGAGAATCATTTTAGCTCAAACACAATGACATGATATGGTCAAGGGAAAATTACAATGCTTGATTTCTGTGTACAGAAATGATAAAAATTACAGTGTAGTTATGTGATCGGTGAATCTCTCAAAGTTCAAAGTTATTTATGCAAGAAGCCATCTAACAGGAAAAAACAATATGAATTTCGAAAAAATGCTCCAAGATGTAATTTTTATGTCAGAACCACTAACCTTCACAGTTCGTAGTCCTCGAGTCACTGTTTCTTAGTATCAAGAGAGAGGCACCTCTAGTTTCATTAATTTGGTAAACTGCATCATAAGTGACACACATGACAAAAAAATAAAATAAAGAAAGGGAAAAAAAACAAAAAAAAAAAAAAAAAAGAAGAAGAAGAAAGAAAACAAAATGACTTTAGTTCCTATTATTATTCCTCAAATGTACTTTTGAATGATGTGAAATGATTAATCCTTGATTCACTCCAACACAAAGAAGGTTGTATGCATATAAACCCCCTTCCTCTCCTTTTCCAAAACAAGGGAAAAAAAAAAAAAACATACACAGGTATGTATATAAACCTGAGATGTCTTTAGTTCCAGTTCCTCCCACTCTCCAGATGAATCATTTCCTTCCACTATTCCAATTCCAGCATAAATCAATGCACTAAGACCCTGCGTATCAAATAAGCCAGCATTTGGTAATGATGTGAATATAAAATTATATGGATTAGAACAAAGAAAATCTTGAAATTCCAAGGATGTTATATATGAAGTAATCCCATTTTTCCGACTACTACAATATCAACCTATTCGGTTGCATGGGGGGTGGAGTACAACAACAACAAGAAGAAAGTAATTATGTGCGATCGGAGTTCCAGTAACTTAAAACAAAATATGCAAAATCACTTATCCATTGTATTGTAAACACACAAGTTCATCTGATTATAGTTTCCTAGCACTACAATTTGACACTTATTAATGAGAAAAGTCATCACCAATCAGGTAAGTTTAATTATGCTAAACTCTACAGTATAGACATAGCAAAGTCTGATTGTGAGGAGCAGCAAGAACATGAGACAATAATTGGCAATAAATAAAGAGCATTTAGCAGACATGATAGAAGGTTTTATGCAGATTCGTCAGAGTAACAACAACAAAGAAGTGTTTTTATAGGGCTTTTGGTGTTTTACCTTTCATAGTAGCAGCAGCAGTAAAATACAGTTATGTCAACCTCCAAAAAAGAGAGTAGTTCAGTAGAATCATATTGCTCTTTGTCATATGCAGATTACTAACAAAAGGGTCACCTCTAAGCATATGCTCTTTGTTAATCAAAACCACCAAAAAGGATATTCACTAGCTTCAATGAAGAAGGCATGATCAAAAGATAATTTCCAAAATAGTAGTAGCACCAAAAAAAGTTTCACCAAATAGAGAGCTGAAAAAAAAAGAGCACAAGTTATATAAGTATTACAATATTAATAATAAATTGAGTTATAACATCATTAATACCTTATTGAACCATATCAGCAAAAGTGTTTAAACATTGTGCTGAAGGAACGCCTTCTTTATTACTTATGGTCAAATCATCAAACTCCACAACAAGGTCATCCAATTGAAGTTGTATGCTCTTTTCATTTAAAAACACCAAAAGAAAAATTAATATAAATACCAATGAAAGTAAATTTAATTTAATTAATAAAAATTTGAATTGATTACCTTTTATATTAAATAACCAATCTCTTGTGCAAACCAAAGCCTCCATATTCTCGGGTTTAAAACAACTACGGAATTGATCAAGAATTCGACCACCAACACTAAAAGCAGCCTCGGAAGCAACCGTAGACACTGGAATGCTTAATACATCTCGAGCCATACGAGAAAGTACTGGATACCTAAATTGGTTGGCCTTCCAATATACAAGCACATTAAGGTCTACTTTCCTGTCAACCTTTGGCTCATCCAAATACAATTCTAATTCTGATTTTTGAGCACTATCAAATTCATCACTTTCAAAACTATCAAATTCCTATATAAAAAATAAATAAGTAAAAACAAGTACTCAAATAAATATTTTACAAGAATAAAGTAAAACTAGTTAAAATACATAAATGAAAAAATAAAATATCAAATTACCTGCATGATATCTCTACTCTCTTTTGTCCAAAATGCTTTTTCTCTTTCATAAGAACAACTTCCAACTGTTTGTGAAGTGGCTTTTGTGCTCATATGAGAATGAGAATCACACAAATACTCATTAAAGAGACTAAACAAGTTATCACAGACCCTTTTGATCTCTCTAGAATCATAACCATAAATCTTAGTGTAACTAAAAGCCACAAAATAAAGCTTGAAACGAGGGTCTAAAATCACAGCAATAGTAAGGATCATGCTAAATTCTGACCAATATTTAGAGAATTTCGAATACATTTTAGTGGCCATGCTAAACAAGAACTCATCCAAACTCTCCTTTTCAGTTAGCAATTTTCGTTGAACTAAAAACACAGCAGGAAAGTACAAATTTGCTATAGCATATTTTGTTCCAGAAAAGACTTTGGTGACATTATAAAATTCTCCTAAGAAATTGCAAATCTTCTCCACTTTGCTCCACTCATCTTTAGATGGACAATGCTTATAGTTTGAGTCACTTAATGCCATGTGACAAAATGCACGATGATAATAAAATGGCACACTCAAGCATAATAAATGTTGAGTTCCATCTTGTAGAAACATCTTGCCTCAAACCTTTCTTAGAATCCAAAGACACATGAGAAATGCATTCCAAAAATTTTTGTTTTCTCCCCGGAGAACCTTTAACATACTTAACACTTTCACAAATCTTAATGACAGATTCATTAATTTCTTTTAAACCATCTTGCATAATCAAATTCAAAATATGAGCACAACACCGAATGTGAAAATAATTACCATCACTCAACAATGCATCATTTAAATTTAATTGACACTTCAACATGTCAACAAATGAAGTATTTGAAGAAGCTGTCCAAAGTGATTGAAAACAGTTTTTTCTCAATCCCCCATGTACACACAAATTTTGTAAGTCTGCAATAGAAACAAAATATGGAGCAAAATAGAATTTTATTAATTTATGAATGTGGAGTACAGTCCTTTGTAATATCTTTTACAAAAAAAGAATGGTCCTCTGATTCGATCTCCTTGTTTTTGGTTGGTTGGATCCAAGGGCTGCACGAGCTTGTTCTTGAATCACTGTGGAATTTGATGAAGAACGGCACGTTGTTGGATGTGCTTGATGTTCTTCGCTTTTGGGTTTCGATTATGAATTTGTGTCTGAATTCTGAGTCTCTGAACTTCTAAATTCTGAATTTGTGTCTGAATTTGTAGACTTCTGAATTCTGAATCCTCTCCCCTTTTTCTTCTTCCAAGCCTCTATTTATAGGCTTCTTGGATTAATAGGATGATGACACGTGTCATCTCCTGATAAGGAAAAAACTATAACTGGGCCGGGCCGGTTATATAGTGATAATTATCCTTAAAGATAATTATTCAAAATATATTTTATTAGAATAATTATCGTTTCATTTAATTATCTGGGCTGAGCTAATTAAATAATTTAAGTAGACCAAGCCTGGTAAATTAAATAATTTATTTAAACATTAGGCCTATATTTAATGGGTCCATTTGTTAAAACCAAAGCCCACTAAATTTTAGTGTCTACACCCCATTCGGTTAACAATGTGTAAATTTTTTCATTTATGGTAACCCCATTATGTGGTGATGGCATATAGCAAAAGTTTAAGATTCTTTTCTGTAATTGCCAATCATCATCAATAAAATGTGCAGTGAGGCACAAGTACCCATCAGTAGTTAAAGAAGTCCATAAATCAGATGTCAAACAAATCCTACCTTGCACTGATCCTAACAAGTGTCGAAGCCTACCCTTTTTAGTTTTATACTAAATTTTAGTGTCTACAAATTACCCCCACTTCAAGTCCCAATTTTGACAAGACTTGTCTCTTTTTCCAAGTGGGACTTGAAGTTTCTTTTTTTTTTTTTTTTTTTCCCATCTTAATTGTACTTTCCTATTTAAATTGAATTGTCCAAATCCCAATACAACTTGGAGGTATCTTGTTGCCTATATATACCCTCAATATTATAGGGTTTGATATCAATTCCAAAAGACTTGTCAGATCCCAAATAATAGGTACGTGTGTTTTTTCTTCTTCTTCTTTTTTTTTTTTTTTTTTTTTTTTTTTTTTTCTCTCTCTTCTCTTCTCTTCTCCACGCTGGCTGGAGCTTTTTTTTTTTTTTTTTAATTTTTTTTTTTTCACGCATGTAGGAGAACAATTTTTTTTTTTTTTTTTTTTTTTTTTTTTTTTTTTTTTTTTTTTTCTCCACGCATGTAGGAGAACATTTTTTTTTTTTTTTTTTTTTCTCCACGCATGTAGGAGAACAATTTTTTTTTTTTTTTTTTTTTTTTTTTTTTTTTTCTCCACGCATGTAGGAGAATATATTTTTTTTTTTTTTTTTTTTTTTTTCTCTCTCCACGCACGCTGGAGAACTTTTTTTTTTTTTTTTTTTTTTCACTCCACTCCACGCACGCTGGATTTTTTTTTTTTTTTTTTGTGTCAACCGTAGCAGAATCCTCCTTCTAGACAACACCGATTTGAGCTTTGGTATCCATCATGGTGGTGTTCAAGTGTTTCGCAAAGCAAAAACTGACTATCTTAGAGAGCAAAAATAGTCAACGAGTCCAAGGAACGACATTAAGTGTATATGACTCACTTTTTGGTCGCAATGCTATTCAAGTGCCTGATTCTAACAATAAACATTGTTCATCTCATTGGACATGCACGGCCACATGCGAACTCACCGACTTTGGTCCTGATCAAATTAATGAAGAATCTATTGTCTTTAAAGCCTTGATACTAAATTCTTCACTTTATGAGAGAGTTGTTGAAGAAAACCAGTTTTCACTATTGGGTCTTAATGTTCAGGCGAAGGAAATATCATGGAGTATTCCCTATAAACTTCCTGCTGAATTGCTATACACCGAACTATATTGGGAGTGGTCAGAAGATGTCTTAGCGCATTTCCACGACTTTCTATCAAAACAACAACTATATGGTGCTTTATTCGCCCCCATATTTTCCTATGATCGTCATGAAGATGTATTCAAAGCATTCCTTGAATGTTGGTGCCCAGCCACTAATACACTTCATTGTTTTATTGGCGAGCTATCAATTTCTCTTCGAGATCTATATATGCTAGGTGGTCTCCCTCACCAAGGAACAATTTATGATGAAGTTATTCCTTGTGCAGATGAACTATCAAGAGCTGGCAACAACAAAAATTCTATCCCTTTGAGTTGTCAACACCTATTTTTGGCCTTCCACAGACTTTCCAAGAAGTATAAAGGAGATCAGAATGTGAAGATATCTGACTGGATTAATTTCTGGTTTAAAGGTGCATCAAGACATGCCAAACCTTCAAAGAAATCAACAAAAAATAAAGTTCACTGCCCTATGAGGACTCAAAATCCGTCTGGTGTGATCCCTCCTGTCCGGTCGATGTCCACCAAAGAGAAAGAAGGATTTATCAACCTTGGTGTAGATGAAACATCGAGAGACACCACTTATCTAGCTGTTTTTTTAGCATGTTGGCTCTGTAAATTTGCCTTACCTGCACACCCTGGCAACATAATTCGTCCTGGGACTTTCAAGGTCGCAAGCATGTTAGCAGATGGCTGCAACATTTGTCTTTCCATCCTGGTTCTGGCCAGTATTTACAGAGGCTTGAACGAGATTGTTTCCTCACTAGATCCTGGAAGCTGCTCTGCGATATTTCCTATTCACTATGTATTCGGATGGTTGAGTGAATATTTCAGAACTAATTTCACCATTCCTAATACCAACTATTGGCCTATAATGACATTATATGCAGGCAAAGGAGGAGCAAGATACTTTGACCATTTTGAAGCCCAAAATTTATTCAGATCATGTAAAGGAATAAACTTAACTCGAATGGCTAAAAGATCTTCAAAAGAGCGACTTATTGTAGATAATGGCGAGATGACAAAGTCTGACTTTGACACCCTAATCAATCTTCGATCACGTTATTTGACATTGCGCCAAAATGACCATCTTATCATTGAGCCGTATAGTCCACACAGATTTAGCCGACAATTTGGGTATCATCAAGATATTCCTGGAAAATTAAAAAATGACTTTCGTACTTACACCTTAGAGGAATTTTTAAAGCATTGGAACTCATCCGTTCATTATTCTTCTGGTTGTGATGCGTTGCTTCTTTCAACCTTAAGCCACCAAAAATCCTCAGTTACCAGAGCATATGCCAAATGGTGGTCAAACGTATATATTGATCCATTTACATAGAAAGAAACTACCTCAAAGCAATCTAAACGCACGATTTCCCCACCAGAGAAACCAACTAAAATCAGGAAGGTTTTAATTAAGGGGCTGAAGTCAAATCTCCCATCTAAGCCAGTGCCAAAGTTAACCATCAAATCTCATAATGATTGTGACATTGTTGGAGGATCTAGTAGCCATCACCAAACAGCAGAAGATGTCCCACCACTAATCAATAACTGTCGCCGTCGTCAGTTGTCAATGGAGTTAGATGAGGATGTGAAAGCTTATGATGATGATTGTAACTAGAAGCACGTCACCGACAAAGTGAGACTTGATTCAGTACAGGAATGTGTTGCCACTTCTCTTGATCAATTTTTTACTGGGGTACCTAGCAGTTCACAACCTATACAGGTAACTGTTATTTTATATATATATATATATATATATATTTTTTTTTTTTTTTATTATTTTTTTTTTTTTGGTACTGCAAATTACCATTATTTATTATTATTTTTTTAATAGATAAAAGATAGCAAGGGATTTCTTGGGGAAGATGTCGTCATTGTTGCTAACCCAACATGTAGTGAAGAATCTATTTATGGACCATCTGCCTTAGAGTTGGCCACTGCGATAGGAAAAGGTACAGAGATTTCACTACAAAGAAGCAGAGTTAGTTAACACTCGGATGTTTTGGGGGTTGCTGAAGTGACTAGTCAAGCTATGGAGGTGGTTGAAAATATTGGTAAAGATCATGTAGTTATCCCTTCTTTGATTTTAAGAGAACAGGGTCCACCCTTGCATCGTGTTGCCCCTTCTGAAATGTCAATTTTCAATGCGGAAGAGATCGTTCTTGATGTTCATCGTCGTGCTGCTTTATTCTTTATTGATTTCATAAAGAATATCATACACGATACTCCTACCGATAAAATACCGTCTCGAGCACCTAAACTTCAAACACTTTATGAAGGACTCGCAAAACTCCCTAGAGACCATTCAGCTTTGAAGAGGCGAATTGACTCATATACCAATAATGCGGCCAATTATATTGCTACATCTTCTTCATATGCCTGTATGATGACTTCAAACTCTCAATCCCAACGATTGGCCAGTATTGATGCACAACTCACCAACACTAGGTCTATAGAAGATGATGGTGCTAAGCGTATAGAATCACTTCAATCTAGTTTGAGTGAAGCTGAATTTAAAGAAGCTAGATTAGTGAAAGAATTGCAGGAAGCCAGGGAAGAGACTCAAGGGCTTAAAGTTCTTATATCGACAATGGATGCACAGTTATCTCAGAAAAAGGAA